GAGGAGGTTTAAAGAATGATACTATAATATATAAGGACTAAGATAGCGTGGTCTCTTGATTGCGGTCTATCTTTGTCGCATATGTTGCATAAACTCGTTTTTGCACCTTGATCATGTTATCAGCGGATGAATATATAGCGAAACGCGAGGAATAACTAAGTGTGAATTACTCCTGAATTGTTAAAGTTATACAGATAATTACTATAACAGTTGAGAACATGGTAAGGCTAGCTTATTATATTTGATTTAGAAGCAGTAATCAGGCTAAAGGAAAATAATACTTTACCATTTAATTTCTTCAAGTTATTAGAAAAGGTGATCAGGGATGCTTGAAGGAAACCAGCATATTGATCTTATTTTAATATCCTACAACTATGGTTAACAAGAATGAGCCTGGCATATCGGGTAAAAAATTAATAATAATATACTGTTGGTGAATAGAGAGCACTGTGGTGTTAAATTGAGTAAGTTTATAAAGTCATTGTTGGTTTGACCACGTTTTCGCAAATTCATCGAAGACCTTGTAGAACCTACCTAGTTCAAATAATATTCACAAATGTTCAACACTTATTTTACAAAAAAGCCTATCCCATCAAGACAGGCGACCAGCACAGCACATTCTTAAAGGCGTGAAATTCTAAATCAAAAAAGATTATTGAACCTTGATTATCGGATAAAGATAACCATTTTCCATCACTATTGGATTTGTCATCGTACGAAAATGCACAAGTATACGCGGAGATACACAAAATGGACCTACCAAATTCCCAAATAAATTTCAGATTCAACTTTGGCTGGATAAGCATAATTGATTAGCTTTCTTGACTCGGTGCTGCAATAAGAATTATGCTCAATTCCGATGATATCCGTCATATTACAAAATAAACCTCAGTCCATTTCCACCAGAACCGAAGGACGGTGCTTAGAGGACTGTGACAGCCTGAATGTCCCGGTAAAATCAAGCTATGACAGACAAAGGGTGGCTCGCCTGTCTTCAGAAAGAATCGATTTGAAAGCCTGATCGTTGCATACACAAAAAAATGAAATTCGAACCCAAAACTAAAGTGTCTGAAGATTTTAGAACTTAATCAGAAGAATTTACACGAAAAAGTAAACTTTCATTAATGTGACGGAAACCCATAATTAGAGGACTCGGGAATAATTTAAGTATGCAACAGTCAACAATTTTATTTGCTAATATAGGAGTCAGGAAGGATGAGATTCAGCTTAAGGTAAATAAAGCATTTTAAAGATTAATAAGGATTGTGAAAATTCTACGATCATTATGATTAAGATAAAAAGTGCCTAGCATACTTTTTAAATGAATAGATAGTAAGACAAAGATTATATGGCCTCTAGTTTAGTGGCCATCTCCTTTCGCTGCAGAGTTAGTTTGAGAAATGTTTGAAAATATAGTGTTGATTTGATCTCGTTTTGTAAACCTTATCGGAGCGACAGAGATATATTGTGAAACGTACTTAGTCCTGCGTCCTCGGGCATAGCATACATGATGAGTTCCAGCATCGTCGAGTTAAATAAATAAGCATTTTGATATTGGAGTACCTTTCATCTCTTGTAAAAAGGCGAGGGAAGGGATTTGTAAGTCGACCTCACAAGAAGCTGCAGGATTGCGAGCTATGATTATAGATTTGTGCGGATAGGCTCTCGGTACATCGCCCTGCGACCTCGATGAAATTCTCGCTGAGACCAACTTACGAATCCCTCCCATTCGTCTCATAAAAAGAAATGAAAGGTACTCCAACATCAATATGTTAAGACATTCTTTGAAACCCAGTTTTTCTACATACCTAAATGAACACTTTGCCTATGCGAGAAAGAGCTAAGATTTGTAGAATTCCAGACCGACCACCAAGTAACCCTTAACGGCTTGCCAGTGCTTTGCTATTTTACTATATTGCCTATTCTGTTGAATTCGGCGGTCCCCATAAGTGTGCGCTCAGCATCAGCAAGAATGCTCATGTAAAGTCAACCAGCAACTGGCTCAAAGGGATTTTCCGCCGTCTTCTGGTTTCACTTGGAATGAAAGTAGGCCCAGTGATTTCGAATCAGTCGATTGCTCGAAAGGCAACTTGTCATCGCAAAAACTGAATATCATTTTATGAGCAAGATAGATAATAAACAAGAATGCGTGACGAAGCTGTTCACATATTGGGGCATATGAGGCTCACTTTGTATGCGTGCTTCGATGGCTCGCATCATTTGCTCAGCAAAGAGACGTCGTCTCTCTAGCTCATCCTCGGGAAGAATGCTCTTCATTGTGGATGACTCAAGTGAAGCGTTCAAGGCGGCTCGGTGGCCCGAAGAAATCGGAGGTAGATAGAAAAGGACGTGGCGAACATATTCTGTCTAATACAATCAATTAAAGATCAAAATGCTAATAAAAAACGAACCTGGAGGTTTGTCTGGTGAACTGCCATCGTAGTATGATGTATAGCTTCCGATTTAGTTTGCAATGAAAGTTTGCAAATATTGCAAGTAAATCGTGCAACCTAAGAAGGCAAAGGCTTTGTTAACTTGATAGAAATGATAAGCCGATTTTTGTAAAATGAATGAAAATTAAACTTGCGTATTTTTTGGAGGATGAAGATATGTGATTCTCGGACAAGAAAAGAATCAAATCTTCAGAAATATCCTCTGGAAATAGATAAAAAGGTATGCGTAAAACGAATCAGTTATCACATATTCAAGATTAGCAAATACTTTTTTCAAGACATTGAGAAAAATACCTCGATATAAGCAACATTGGTAGCTGCTTGTATACAAATTAAAATGAATAAAAAAATACTTTAAATATTTTCCACTCTGATCAAAAGATGTTAAATGAGTCATAATTCCTGATAAAATTATATTTCTACGAGGCGTCAAAACTAAATAAAAGCGATAGCAATTAAGGTTAATCAAAGTAACCCACATTGATTAAATGAATTACTTATATTCATGTCGTACTATAACATTTTCTCCCTAGCTAATTGTTTTTGAAATGCATGGTTGACGATCCCGTATCTTTTTATAGAAATAAAGCGTTCAATCCTAATCTAAATAAAATTATTAAATCAGTTACAGCATAAATGCTAAGACTTAAATACAAAATTAAATATTAGACAAATGGAAGCCAATTGGTGAGAAGCTGTCAGCAACTTCATAACTGAATTAATTAATGGGCTATACTTGTAAGAAACTAAGGAACTAGTATGCAATTTGAATTTCGATAATGTGTATGCAAAATCGCAATTCTCTGCTATGTGGATAGGGGTTAAGCAAAAGTAAGATAGAAACAACTCCCAGAGGTTATTCGACGTAAGAATCTTGAAACACTAAGCAAACAAGACCAAGATTGATCATAAAAATTTAGTAAATAACCAAAAATACATGTTCGTCTATGGATTACCAGAACCACTGGATACACTTGGAGGAATCACATCTTTTTTGAGAGGGAATGCCTCAGAGACACAGATCTGAGATTTTGACTGTGGATAATGGGGAGGAGAAAGACACACGTCGTTTTTATTTTTATCCATTTTGCACGAGCCCAAACCAGAAACTATCTTCTAATACCTCCCCAGTAAATAGGATGAAGGACAAAGCAAGTAGAACCAATCAAAAGATGTTCAAATCAAGCGCGCACGATATCGCCATCCATGCGTTTGTAAGCACACGATCTTGACTGATGCAATAATTATGCCTTATTTATACAAAATGTATACAATGACTTAAGTAATAACTTTTGCTACCCGTACAATAATTCATAGAGGCGAGCAAAAAAGCCAGCATTTCAAATATAAGCAACGTGTGTATTAAATTGACTAGAGCTTGTAATTATTGACTAGTCAGATAGAATACAGGGGGAAGCAAATTGAACCAAGCGAGATAAAAGAGAAAGCTATAGTAACATTGAGTATGGTTAGGTTATCACCATACCTCAATCGCGACCATCGCAAAGATTACAATTTAAAAAATACAAAATGCGCTCTTACTACAAGCACATAACAGTGAACGTTTTCTTGTTGAATAAAATTATGTTCTATATTTTATATTATTCTATCTTGCAAAGCAATATTAAGTCATGACCCCTGTACCAAAAGGCTATGAGACAGATAAGGTATACAACATAATTTAATGGAGTTGGAACTTCTATGCAATTTGTGATTAATTGGTTCATATTATTTCGCATATTGTATCAAAATGATCGGACTCACTAGATGAATAGTTCCACGGGGTCAATCCTGTGACAGCCAGGACAAATATAAGGTATAACAGAAGCTATAAACTGATCAGAAATTACAAATAGTTAGGGTAAATGCGAATTGGATTCAGATGAGCAGGAAAGGATAGATGGAAAGAAGCACCTGAGACGGCTTGCTATAGTTGTGCAACCACAAAAATAGACCCCAGTGTTAGGGAGTTGCTGAAGCAAAACGTCACCTAGATTTCAGTCGATCTTTCATAAAACATGCTTTTGCTGATGCTCTTCATGAAGACTCTTATTATTTTAGACGTGGGTTTAGTAATGCACTTATTGGAGGACCTTGCCTTAGGCATATATGTGGGGTGAACGCGGTCATCTTCCTGCTGAGGTCCAAGTGACTTTGCTTTGAGACAGATATAGTTAATATGGCTAGCATAATTGCTCAAGTATGAATGACTTAACTTAGAGGTGGAACACGTGAAGGCGTGCGATGATTGACATATAGAATTATGGCTAGTTTGGCAAAGGATAAGAAGGTATCACAGGGACCTCTGGTAGTCGTATAGCCAAACGTAGGATATTTTATAGACGATTTGATAAGATATGTCTATTCTTAAGAAGCGAGCGAGATGGTGATACACAATGGCAGTGTTCTATCATAACGAAAGAGTGCAAAATTAGATGCCACAGGTCAGATAATACCTTGGAGAAGTTGAGATCAGTATAAAGTTCGTTCTACTTAATATATTCCATTCCGTATCTCCTTATTGATTCTTGGAAGGTGATCTGGCTTGATGTGCCAGGTCATTCCTAATGATCCTAAAGGAAACCTTTGTGCCTTAACGACAATGTTTTTTATTTAGTAAATACACTGGCTTAGACATGATAGGCGATGTTTGTGACTAACTGATGCAGGGAAAAGGGACGATATCGTCTCATCTCAGTGACAGATATAATTAAAATTTTGATTCTGGCCACTCAACCAGGTTATTGATGCATATTAGAAGTTAAAGTAAACTTCTTAAAATAGAAGTGGATTGACCTCGTTGTGCAACTTGGTCTTGTTGTCA